AGCCAGTACACCAAGAAACACCCGTTAAGTATGGTGTTTCACCAGCTAAAGTTGCTCAAGTAGAGAGACAGAGTTCAACAGAAAGTGAAGAATCTTCTTGCTCTAGTGATGAAGGTCAGGCATCTGCTGAAAGAAGTCGATCTCTTGCAAGATCTGCAACACCGAGAAGGTCAGCATCCCCAATGAGGAGAATACAAATAGGAAGAACTGGACCCCGAAGAGCTGCTGCATTAACCATCAAGAGTCTTAATTTTATCCCTGCGAGAGAAAGGGCAACATCTTATAGAGATGCTGCTACAAATGATGGTGATGAGGAAATATCTGAAATGCCTTATAAGAAGCCGGAGATTGATGTAGGGAGGATAACTGTGCAAGATGCGATCAATCTGTTTGAAAGCAAACAGAGGGATCAAGCTACAGACATTCAGAATAGGAGGTCCTTGGCAGATGCTTCTATTAGTGCAAATAAATCTGTATTAAGAAGATGGAGTTCAGGTATGGGGGAAAACTCTATCCAGTCCCAGCCACAAATTGATTCCGAAGATTCTGTTTCTGTGACTTCCAATGATGTGGCAGATGTTAAGAACCCAAAAAGTACAGAGGGAGAAGTGGGGTCTGATTTTGTGTCTGAAAGTCATAATTATAACGAGATCACTGAAGATAATGTGAAACCAGAAAGAGAGGAAAATGTAAAGTCTAACACAGTTGATAACCAAGCAGAAACAAATCCAGACCTTGGAAAGGAAACCAGAAAGCTGGCAGCCTCAGCAGAATGGAATCAACAAAAGCAAGCAGAGTATAATGAGATTCTTATGAAAATGATGGAAAGTAAGTCTGTAAAATATGGCAAGTCCCTGCCTGGTAAAAATCAGAATATTCCAAGTGAACAAAGAGGAGGATCTCATGATAATTATAAGGGGAAAAGAGATGCTAAACTTCAAGGAGGGAATACCAGAAAAAAAGTTGAAAAGGAGGCACAGTTTCGAGCAATGCAGCAAATACTTGATAAGAGAAAATCTGAAATGGTGTCCAATAGTGGGAATGAAACTAAAAAGAGTACAACACGGAAGCCTCAAAAGTCCCTCAGGAATTTAACTCAACCTGCAATTTCCCCAAAGGAAGCCTCCAAGCCTGCAGTTGCCAAAAAGGTGTCATCTAAAACATCACCATTGCCTGCTACCCGTAAGTCTTGGTCAGCAACACCTTCACCAAGGGTTTCTGGGACATCCCCTGCTAAAGTTCGGGGTGGAGTTTCTTCAGCTAGCACCACCCCAACACGTCGAAAGCCACAGTCAGCAGTATCTGTTCCTCAACCAAGTCCCCAAAAGGAAAGATCTCAGCAGCAAATTAGAAAGGAGAAAGAAACCCAAACTGATAATGTCAGGAGCCTCAAAAGCAAAAATGAAAAGCGGCAGCCAGCAGCCGCAAACAAGAGTAAGGAAATGAAAGAAAAAGTGACAAATGCTTCTGTAGATTCTTCCACTCCATCAAAGATTAGTTTAACCAACAAGGGGACCAAGAAAAGCAGTGTAGTGCCGGTGGAATCGAAACCATTTCTGCGGAAGGGTTCAAGGACTGGACATAGTACTGGCATTACTAGCAAGAAAAAAATTTCTCCTAAGCCTGAGGAAACCCCTAGAGAAAATGGAGTTTCAATCAAAGCTCAAGAAACTGATTTGGTTGCCAATAATACTTCTGATTTGCTCGGTCAGCATTCTGAAAGGGATTTGGTGACACTTAATAATCAGAATTCTGTTATAGAACCAGAATGTCAGATAAATAATCACCTGCAATCTGGGGAAACAGATGATGTAGACCAAGTACCTACTGAAGTTGGGGATCTCTCAGCAAATGTGGAATGGTCTTCATTGAAAATGAGTACTGAAGAAGAATCAACCATACCACCTACTGCTTGGGAGGAAATAGAAGAACCTCTGGAACTGCCCAAGACATGTGACGATGGCTCATTCCAACCTGCATCTCTAGCCAATATTGTTCCAGCAGGATTAGCTAGTCCTCGAGTTCGCCATTCTCTGTCCCAGATGCTGCAAGAAGAAAGTAGTGAACCTGACACTTGTGAATGGGGAAATGCTGAGAATCCTCCTGCCATGATATACCAAAAGGATGCACCAAAAGGATTGAAAAGACTCCTGAAATTTGCTCGAAAGAGCAAGGGGGATACAAATTCCACTGGCTGGTCTAGCCCATCTGTCTTTTCTGAAGGGGAGGATGATGCTGAGGAGTCTAAAAATGGTACGAAAAGAAACGCTGAAAATCTATTGAGAAAGGCTGCACTGCATGCTAAAAGCTATGGGCAACCAAAGAGTTCATTACATGAAGGCTACGAAAAAAATTTAGGTACTATAGCAAACTAACTTAGTGCGTTTCAACTTTTGCCCTTTGCTCTTGTCTCATTGTTGCTGTTTTGGTCTTAGACCCCCCTCCACACTCCAATTTTTATCGTATTATATATTTCAGCTTCTTTCAAAATGCTGTTCTCTTGTCACCTTTAATATTTTAAAGTTTAGACCCTTTGACCCGGCCGTACTAGATGGTACTAAAACGTAATAAGCTCCAACGGGAGATGATTTCCTAATCAGATAGCTTTTTTACCCTTTTCTGTCTTGTGCTGAAACTTTATTACCATTATACTCCCATATTTTATGAAACTTGCAAGTTAAGCCTTGCTTTTAATTTCGATGCGTATTTAGTATTGGAACTCTTGTAATTTAGCCATTTGAGCTTTGGCATATCTTGGTCAAACTAATACTCCTCAATGTATCGTCATTGGTTACTGAGCTCAGTAGTGAAATGATATTGGAAAGGAATGCTGTCTCCGTATTCAGGCCCCAAAAGAGGAAAACAAGCTGTCTGTGTTGCGCTTAAATAGTTGAAAGCTAACAGGCATGGCCCTTTCGCAATGACATATTTGTACTCTTACAGTGTTACTCATAAAATTGTGATATGCAGATTTAAACAAACTTGATGGTAAGGGCTCTCACAAGATGCAAGAAGGCCGCGATTTTGGTGCTGGTTCTGCTACAAAAGGTAAGTTCCCGCTCTGAGTAATCCACAACTTGAGGAGCTTCATATTTCTGTATTCCAGCAAATTGTATATTCTTATTCTTGTTGGTAGTGATGCACTTTATTCATTTCTTCTACATGTCTGTGTTCCAGGGTCAAGGTCATTCTTTTCTCTTTCAGCTTTCAGGGGAAGTAAACCCTCTGAGGCGAAGTTTCATTGATGCTATGGATAGCCTCAAGGATAAAGATAAATTCTACCATCATCACAGGACATGTTCATAGCAAATTTAGTACCGATTTTTCCCTATTTTCCTGATTCGTATTGCATCAAAACATGCACAAATCAGGATCCATTTTCCGTATTTCATTCGGCGGGTTGATAGTGATCAGTTGGGTTGGGTCGAAGGTTGTAAATTGTGTCCTTGTAGTATTGTAGCATCACCTTCTAATAGAAATCATATCCTGTTTCTCCATTCCATGGGGTACTCTCCAATAGTTGGATCCGCTGTTGACCAAATGCTCATGAATCATAAAATGCGGTGGCTTCGTAGTTTGGGATTATGGTTCGTTGTGGATAAGTTGACTGCTACAATTTTACTCTTTTATCAAATTAGTGATGATGTAAATGCAGCCCTTTAACCCAAGTCAATGAAAAATACCACACAAGTCTTTGCATATTGTGGCATCATAAATGATTGACTTGTTCAATCTGCATAGGTAATTAATGATGTCTCACATGATCTCCCGTCAAGTACGGATGTGTACGGTATGGTATAGTTGTATAGAAGGGTTGGATACGTTGTCTATCTCGTGTTTTTAGTTGATTAGTTGTGTTAAACTTAAACCTATTTTGTCACTCTTTCCTGGGGTCCTATTAGTAAGAAGTGGATTTGGGTTCCTTGAAGAGAAATTTACATGATAAATGTGATGAAAAATAGGCAAAATGAATGAGATTTATATTTAAGAGATAAATAGGTTTATCGATTAATTGATGGGTTTCATATGGAGAAATGTAGATTTTTCTAGAGGGATCAAACCAAAGTGTTGGCAATATTTCAAGAGATCCAGGACGAGGGTGACTATCCCGAACTATTTGCTAATGAGCATAAACATAATTCCACACGATGCAATGATTAACCATAAGCCTAAATTCTAGGGAGAATTACATACGGGTTATACACGAAGGAAAAAAAAAAAAACTAATTACTTGCTAGTTTTGTCTACCTGTAAATACTAAAACTTGACACGTAGGTATAGAAGTTTGACTTGTAAATAAATTAAAAAATAATTAATTTCTTTATTTAGGATCTAATTGTAATTCTCCCTAAATTTTATCTACAAACATCTATTGGTTGAGTGGAAACTATTACAAACGCATCTCCTCATAAATTTCCAATTAAAACCTGCACATTGTTTGCCTTTATGTTTGACTCAGATTATGGCAACAGGCAGATAACACCAAATGAAGCAAGGGTTCCAATGTAGAAAACAATGCCCAAAACCCAATAAGGGAAAAAAAGTTTAGTTCAATTTCAAGCGCAGGAAGTTAAAAAAAAAAATTCCTCTTGTAATCTTAGATTATATTTTGCACAAGCGAAAGATAATGTCATGGGACAATGAATATATAATAAACATTACCTAAAGTTTGAATCTCAGCTCCTTTTTGTGGGGAAAAAAAATCTCAGCTCTTTTTACATAATAACTTAATTGGGAGGGTCCATTTTTTATATTCAAAGTAAATAATCTCTACTATCAACTAGATTTATTCATTGTGCCCATGAGCATTGCGTAAAAAGAAAGGTTAAAGTGTAAAAATAGTTTAAAAAAAAATTCTAGAAGCTGGTAAATAAATAATAATACATAAGTACACATAATTTTATAAGACATTAACCTTTTCTAATCTGTTAAAAATGTCCGACGCTGACGATTAAATTCTAAAAATAGCAAATATTTGACCATCAAGCTATTTTATCGAATGAGAGAAAATTGGTCACTTTTTCTAAAATTAAAATTAATAGTTATCATGCATCATTATTTCACCATTTCACTTCTGCATTTGCACCTTTAAGGTTTGGATATCTACTCAACCAACCTCAATAAGATGTCCATGGTGGTTCCCTCTCTGCTGTGTCTGAAATGGGCATGAGAATAGCAAAACCTGACTCTAATTCACTGAGTTTCTCTATGAGGTCCTTCATTAATCGTCCCGCTACGTAAGACACTCCCGAAGTTGCAACCGCCAAGGTAACGTAATACGACACAGTTTTGGCGTATGATTTGGGTGGTCTTTTGGTGTAAACCTTGGCTATTCCAAGCAGAATGACGCATAGCAGAGAAGCGGCTACTACTAATGCAACCTTCACTTCCGAAGAGTAATTTTCACCGATCAATATGCCATAAATAACGACAGGGACCGAACCGAATATTAGGAATGATAAAACAACTACAACTGCATGAAGTACAAAGTTTTCTCGGTGACCAAGCAGTCTCTGGTACTTATCTTCTTGTCCGTTTGTTTGCTGTGTATCCCCTTGAGAATCTTCTTTTAATTCTGTAAGCTGTGAAAGTAACAAGGGTTTACCTTCATGCTTTACAAGTATCACAGATAAAATTAATTGACCTTGGTAATGTGATACATGAAAGCCAGACATTGGATTCATCAATTGCATTTTTGTACCTTTGCTTAGATTGGATGATGCAGAATATTGGACCATAAAATGTAACTCTCAACAAATTATTCAATTAAATTTTACATTGAAACTTTTTAACAAGTAACATGGCATTGAAAAAAGTTGGCTTTTTAACAAGTAAACTCCTCATTTCATTGTGTAGGGAAATATACAATTTGATATCTGATGTCTGGCTCATATACTTAAATTCTATGTGGTTTATAGTAATTTTGGGCAGTGCACAAAACCCAGTGGTCAAGAATACTTATGAGATCACACTGTTAAGACATTGGTATCCTATGATTTTATTCCATTATCTATGGGACAAAAAATGGCATGCATAAGACCTCCAAAATGTCATAATCTTCTAAGCCCTAAACGAAATTAGAAAATGTATGTAAAAATTAAGATTTTGGACCAAATTAAAGGTTTCATTTAGAGGCAAAATTTATGAAAAAAAATTGCTTTCTAAGAGTCAAATTTGGAGATATGATTAAAGATTCCATTTAGTGGCAAAATTTAATCTCAATTGTCAACCTCCCATATCACTTTAGTTGTTCCTGCTTGCATTTTATAAAGACTACTTGATTACTAACTTCAATACTTATTTGATCTAAAATTTTTTTGCATGCATAAAAAATCAGTTTAAAAAGAGAGACAATAAAGATATTGCAGTAGCTATAACACCAAGCATTACAAGGAACCTCACTCACATGATGCCAAATGATGAAAAGTCCACCAACCAGATTTGCTAATCCCAATGCTATAATATTCACTACAAAAACACAATATCAGAAAATAAACCAACCGTTAACAACTAAAATAGCAACTTTAACCAAGTGAAATCACATAACTACCAAGTTGAAATAATAATAGAAGCACGGATGGTGATTTCTTATTAAATAAGACTTACTTGAAGAAGAACCAGCACTAGCTGCAGATGTCACAACTCCCAGACTTGAAATTGATTCAACCAATCCACTATACACAATGCTTTTAAGTATTTCCCTTCCGTACGGTTTTCTGACTACATCTCCTGTTTGTTCACCATTATGTGCTTGAGTTTGGGCAGATCTTTCTGTCAAAATAGTGCCTTCAATTATAACACTATCTTCTGTTTGAGTAGCAGTGGATTCAACTGGTTCAACTAATACTATCACCTCGCTCCCTGCAATCATTATCAAGGCATATATATTGTTAATTCATAGTGAACTCTCAAACTTTTGGTTGAAACTGGTTTACATGAACCTGTTAAGGTAGCCAATTATAAGGAATTAGCACGGGAGATTAAAATCTATTTCCAGTTAAACCTACATCTGTAGTACTTGAATGTCTATTGGATTGACTTGGTTTGGCAATTTGTTTTAAGAAAACCAGGTATACCTATGAAACTCCTAAAAGGAGTTTTCTCTGAGCATGAACTAGAGTCATACATAATTGATATTTAACAAATGGTTATCTGATTCATTTACCTTTCTTTTCTGTTCTGACTGGAGGACTTTTTTCTTCCTCTATTGCCGTTTTTTCTTTTTCAGCCAGTGGAAGATCATGTTCCGAAAAATATTCAGCATATCCACCAACAGTTTGCATATCAGAAGTTGCATTCTTTGCAAATTCTGCACTGCAAAATGATTGAGCAGATATCTGTGAGCCCTGCATTGATGAGGGATAATAACTATTCTAAATATTTAATTTATCTTACGTTTCCATGCTGGATTTCTTGTACATTTCCTTCTCTGAATTCTCAGGTTCTTCTGCATAAGGTTTCAGAGCGGGATCTTCTGCAGGATCTTCAGCTTTAACAACTTTTTCACTGGTAATTTTAGTTGCTGAAAGGTCTCCTGTGTGCTTTGGTATCATATCACCTGATGCATGTCAAGCCTCTTAATCACAATGACACTGAAGAACTATTTCATTCACCCTGACTGCATATGCTATTCCCCTATTTATAGAATATTGGTATGCTTCAAATACACAAATTGCCCCACAATGCTAATTCTCCTAAATACTCTTGCCCATTTTCCTAATTACCTTTAATTTTCCCACATAACATCACCAGAAAGGTTCATTGAGGCAACAAAGTCTGCTTCAGAGTGATTTATTGAAACAAGCAACAATATATTCATTACTGAACTGGAAATGCAATTGTCTAAGAATAATATATTTGAAAACTGCGATTTTGTGTATAAAGCTACTTTGCATGGGTTTAGTGTGATACATATATATATTTGATAAACAACTGAGAGAAACTATGCAAGTTTTGGATTGAAATCTCACTTGTAAAATGAAATATAAAACTTCTTCAATACATGAATCAGAATTTTTTTCAGGGTACAGAATGGTTTATTTGGAAGTTAATGACGTGTAAAAAATTGTGCTGGTAAGGATACAATTGTATTATCAAGGAATGACCTTTCCAAATATAGACATATTTGAGTCTGTTGTGAAATGTGCTGCATGCAATGTGCATGTCCCTAATATTGCTCAGGTTAACATATCATGTGTCTCAACTACCCAAGAAAGTGCATGGAAGGATCTTAAGAGGAATTTCAATAAAAGAAGAAAACCACAAGGAGTATAATATGTTCCACTGAATGCAGCTCTTTGCTTACAGCTTGGCTATCAAATATTAGCAAACTTTGAATTTCTCAAGGAATGACCTAGATCATGAAATAGAAACGAAACATGGCTCCATAATTTGTGCCATAGTATAGAATCAACTGCTTTCCTCTGTGAAAGCAATGTACTTAGAACTTTGAAGTGCTGATGATAATATAAAGCCTTGCTTACTAGCTGTTTTCCGCTCATTTGAAGTAAATAGAGAGAAGAACCAGTTTGAATTGGAGGCTGGTATATTTGAAAGGTTTTTCTCGTCGGTCTGGTGTAACCTTGAAGAACCGTGTGAGTCAAATGTAGGTAAACTTGAGGAATTCTGTGAACTTTCATTCTCACGAGTGCCGACAAATTTTCGGAACAAATTGAAACTTCCTGCCAAAGTAATCGGATTATTAAGCTCTGGCAGATGGTATGCACAGAATATTAATTTCATGTCAATTTATACATGTCATCAGGAAAGAAAATGTAATTTTGCGTATAAAATAGGCTGACAACCTTCACTTGCAAGAAGCATTGACCAGTCAAAGGCTTCACTTGCATGATTTGTTTGAGAGTAAAGATAATCATTTACTTACCTGTAGGAATAAAGTATCTGAAGCATGATAAGCATCTGAATACTTCTGGTTCGCCTTCATGACCGTAACTATCAGCAGATGGCACTTCTCTTTCAATATTAGTTGTGACTGCTTCATCACTTCGGTTGGCTTCAAATGCAGGATCATCAACCAGCTTGGAGCTAACTACAGTATCCAACTTGTCACGCTTTGCCTTGAGATCTAAATCTTGAACTCTCCGTTTTCTTTTTCTGAGGATGACCCTTTTGGTAATGCAAGAATTACAATTAGGACAAAACAAATCATGAGTCGCTTGCTTGGCCAACACTGCCTCAACATCTAGTTCTCTAAGTCTCTGGTCAAAATCTTCTATCAACTCAGGATCTGCTGTTGGACTGGTTTCACCGTCTAAATGTTGGACGGTTGCATCGTTCACTTCAGATGAATTATCCTTCAGAGTTTTCATGCATTGATTGTTCACATCATTGAATGGAGTGCTCCGGATATCTGGGTATCAAGTCATGAAACAATATCGCCATGTTTCTCAGCAGCTCCAACACTTGTGAAAATGTGCATTCATAGATCATTTGAACAAGGGGGAAGACTAAAGAGCAAGGTTTCTTGTACACATTCTAACAAGAAGCAATGTACATAGCTGAAAAAGATAAAATCCATAAACTAAGCGGAAGCAAGAGAGAGGCAAGTGTGTACCTTGTTGATTGTCAAAGGCAGCAATATTTCTATTCTGCAACACAGCATTGCTAGTGGGGCGAGTTATGGCATCTATAGATGTTGCTGCGTCCTTTACTTCTTCATCAGTACAGTGATATTTATGTTCACTAACATTGCTTGTCTCTGAAACTTCATTCTCTTCCTGTATAGTAGGTGGAGATATCAGTAATGTTCCCGCCACGCTCGTATTCACGTTATCATCCTTGAAACGCTGCGAGGATTTCCTTCCCTCCAAAGTGACCTCTTCTGCCTCTTCTTCCTCCTGTACTGCCCAACGAGAGTGCTCTTGATCAATTTGTTGCTCCATTGATGTTGTGTTTGAACTTGGAAAACCAGACCGCAGAACGATGCGATTTGAATTCTGTGAAGTGAGGGAGATTGAGATGACTAAGAATACTCACGCATGAACTTCTAATTTTTTATATATCTTCCATGAAGTGAGAGAATGAGAGATTAAATTTGCAATTTAAAAGATTCAAATCTGAGAACGCCAGCTGAAACTGCGGGTCACTTACAAGATTGGTGGCAACTGGCCAGCATGAACTATTCATGGACAAGCTATAACTGCAAAGATCGAAATAGCTTTGGAGACAATATGTTATTTTTATAACTAATTACTAGCTGATAAGTTTTCTAAATCACTTTTGTTCCACCGTTGAGTGCGTTATGGCAAGTGAATTAAGTTTCAATTTTAAAAAAAAAAAGGTTAAAAAATTAAAATTTTAGAAAATTCAAATTAATAAATTAATAATATTTTATTAACAAAAATACTAATTGTTCTTGTCGGCCTTTGGAGACATTTACTAAAAAGGTAAAAAAAAAAAAAATTGTTTTATGAATGACTTAAGCGCAATAATTGACATTTCTTGCTTTTTCTTTCGCTTTTTTTTTTTAATCGTTCTTACCCAAATCGAGTTCCTCGTTCTCAATTTAAAAATAAGAGAAAGTAGTTGATTTCTTTGAAAACATAATCCAGAATAAAGCATAGCAATCATCGCTTCCACGTGAACAAAATTTAGTTACACTATCATTTTACTTTACGTCATCTATGAAAATGTCACCATTAAGATTAAGTAGAAAATGGAATGTAGAGCAGCCTGCACGAGCACTCCCGGAAGATTGATTTACAAGAAGCCACTTTCGCTTATCATGAGAAGATTGAATAGCAAAAGACATTCTAACACATCTAGACAACACAAATATATCCTTACTGTGCAGAATGACACCTTGAAACTAATATACTGATTTAAGTTTTTTGTATTAATTTGAAACTATATTTAAGTTTGTTTTCGTAGATTTTGCTTCTTAAATGTCAGTGCATCTTTTTGTTTTTAAATTTGTCAAGACTGAAACTAGGACATGTTTTCGGGATTTGTATCTTTGTGTAGATGCTGAAAGCTGAATACAGGAGTTGATTATTAAGAGAGAAAATTGCCATGGATTAAGTTGGCCAACCCATTTCACCCACTAGTAGAGAAAATTATAATTTTTTTTTTGTTATCCAAAGCAATTCTATTTGAGGTATTATAAAATATTAAATATATATGTCTTTCTCAAAAATATTTGAATCTTAATTTATTATATTGTAGAGAACTAGGGCAAAGAAATTTTTAAGTAAACCGAATGTACCATGTCATTTATTATCTATTTAATAAAAATATGACATCTAAATAATATTAAATTTAACTTGATTCTGATATTAATGATAGTAGAAAAAAAATAAAAAATTAAATATTCATTCAGAATAAATTTAATTTAAAAAATATCACATAAAATTTTATTTAAATTATTTAATACATTTTAATTCAATAGATTATAGATGGTATGATGTAGTTGATCTATTTAAATATTTTTTAAAACTAGTTTATTTCATTTGATCCAGTCTTGCTTGTAAAAAAACCATTTTAAAAATAAGTGATTCAATCCTTCTTTTTTCCAAACCTGTCATAGTCTCACGGGCCAGCCCACGTGAGGCCACATGGACTATGATGGCTCTCATTCGCTCAGTTCTATTCGATGTAGGTATTGGATATCTTCATGGAGGTCCAAGTGAATCTCATCATTTATAGTTTCTACATGGTGTCAGCATGGTTCCTTGAAACTCTCTTATTCAATTATATATTTTATTTAAAATTCACACCTAACCTTTCCGGAAAAAGTTATACCTAACTCACATCTAGTTTTAATTTTACTAATGAAAGTAAATTTAATATCGTGATAATTCCTATAATATAAACGTTAATTGTTTTAATTAAAATCACTTCCCTTTGACATATACTTTTCAGATAATCACCATTGATCACCACTGTCCACTGTCGATAAGTAGAATATTAAAACTTGAGCATTAGTGTGTGCAAAATGACGAGCAAGGAACAATATATACAAGAGTCATATCAGATCAAACTTCATTTTCTTAATTTTAGTTGTTATAAATAATTGTGTCTGGTGACTTCAGTAAAATTGTTCCTACTAATTAAGTCGCTAACATGGATGGGAACTTCTTGGGGCTGTATTGAAAATACAAATAATGGTATCAAGTATCGACATCAGCCACCAACAAAATACGACCACCAAGTTATAGTAGACGAAGAAATTAACGTTCTTCAAACTGCTTAAATATTTAGAATTTTTCGCATTGTAATCTTTCGTACAAAAAAAAAATATAAAAATCATCAATAATAAAATTGGCGTGACTAATTAGTCTAAAACTTGCCACCCGTAGAGACTTTTTTTTAATTATTTTTATCTATATATATAGGGTGGAAAATAGTGCACCTACAAGTTTTGGTTTATGAATTTATATTCCTGGCCTGTGTTAATATCAGAATCTTGATTAACACATGTATATCTAGATCTGCAAACGTAAATTAAAACACCAGGCACAAACATTTAATTTTAGAAATTCACATTGTACACAGTATATATTAGTATAGATTCCAGGTCCTTAATTTTTTCCCCCCAATTCTCAGAAAGAACGAGAATAGACATGTCCTTTTTAGACTGAATTTCAGCTGATGAGAATCGTTGCCGCCCCAGCGAAACATTTAAAGGGGGAAAATTATAATTTATAAAGCTGACAAATATACTTCGTAAAGGGGGAAAATTACACGTGATTTTTTATATTATTGTTAGGGATAATAAAACTTTAAATCTCTCAAATTTATCTCAATTATCAATTTTATCCCTCACATTCAATTTTTATAAATTGAGTCCCTTGAATTTTTTAGTTATTGATTTGGTCCTTATCATTTAAAGAGGAGGTAATATTATTAAAATTTACTGACATTAATAAGAAAATAATGATGGTAACCATATATATATATATATATATTAATAACAGAATATTAATTGTAGGAAAAAAACATATTAAAAAACTTTAAAGAACAAAAGAAGAACAAAATGCAATATAAAGAATTATATTGATAAAAGTTAAGTTGATTTATCTTACACATTAAATTAATTGAGAGTGAACTTATGTTTTAAAATTTAAAAGATTAATGTGATGATTTTTTTTAAAAAATGTAAGGTTTAAATTGATAAAAATTAAATTTGAGAAGTTGGATTAATAATTAAAGTAAACTTAAGGTGTGAAAAGTTTCACGATCCCGTATTATTACTGTTACTTTTTTCTTGGCCCGAAAAATCATAATAGCTGGTACAAGTTTTTGGAAAATTGATTTGGATGATTCTAAAAATTAAATGTTACTTTATTTGGAGTAAAGTAGCTTTTTTAGGACGCTCTAGAATTTAAAGAAAAGAATTAATTATGTGAAATCAAACAGAATTAGTTAATGGGATGATGGCATTGAAGACCGAAAAATTGAATTAAACTTAAATAAGAAAAAAATAAAAAATTCAAAATAAGGACCAACGTTTTTTTAAAATTGAATTTTGGTCTAAAAATTTAATACTATCGTTTCAAGATTTGCAAGTAAAACTTGTTAATTTGTAAAGAAAAAAATTGTTAAACGTATCACCAATCAGCCATTTCTAGCTAGTGATTTGCTATCCTCATATCTTTGTTTGCAACTCTCAAAGCATGAATTTGTAAACAAGATTCATTAATTTGTGAAAGAAAATAATTTTTAAATAATGATATATTTCATAGATTTTTCTTTTATAAATTAACAATTTCACTTAACAATTTTTATTTTGGTCTTTAATTATTTCAAATTTTAAATCATTTAATAAGTTTAATTCATTTTCTTGTCCTTTAATATTTTGATTTAGTCACATGAACTTGTGAGGAAACCATGATTTCACAGTGAATTCGTAAAAAGCTAGCCAAATAAAATTTGGGTCGCTGTAGAAAACCGGCCGGCCAACATGTTGGTGGAATAACATGAAAGTAATTCCAAGTCTTGCAAACATACATGCGCATGTATGTAGTTATTAATAATATCATCACATATTTGTACATACTACATATGCCTCAAATTATCATTGAAAAACAGAAGGACATATATAATTAAGACAATTCAATTACTTATAAGTTTAGTCCTAACTAGATAGATATGGATTCAGTTTCGGAATGAGTACCGTGGTGTTCAGTACTAAAACATTGTGGTGCAGTGTTCACTTTTTTCTTTTCATCTTTTCTTAAACGACAAGTTATTATTATAATGATAAATAAATTTATAAAATTATTATTTTAATATAGAATAAATAAAACAAATATTAACCTATTAAAATTTGACTTTCAAATATAAAGTTTGGTATGAATAGTTTAGAACTATATTGAAAAAAATTAAAACTATAGCTAAAGATATTTTATGACTATTTCTTATTTTATTGATTTTGCATACTTGTCCATTTATGAGGGATAACATCATTCAAGACACAATTGGATATTAAATATAAGCACTTTTCTTAATAAAAATTTGAACATTAGTTTGTTATATTATAAGAAACTAGCTTATTTTACTAAACTTAACTTCTATTTTAAACTCTTTAGGTCATTTAAAAAAAATTAGTACAATTTTAAATTATTTAGACCAAAATTTATATTTGAAGTCAAGTTTTAACAGAGTAATATTTATTTATTTATTAAATATTAAAAGAATAATTTTATAATATTTATTTATTATTATAATAATAACTTGTAGTTTAAAAAAGGGGGGCAAAGTTAACACTGCAGCGCCGTGTTTTGGTGCTGAGCACCACTAAGCACCGAAACCGAATCCAGATAGATACAAATTGAAGAAAAATATAGAAATCATGGATACTTGATATATAAACACTAGAAATAATAATATAAAAGCGATCAAGATGAAGGGAACATCTTTGCCTGGGACGTTAGCTTATGTTTCTTTGTTTATGGTCAGCAATAAGCTTTGTGAAAATCGACAAACAAGAATAAAAGCCATGGTGGTTTCACGTTATTAATTATTGTGAGATTATAAACCATGTCTTGCGTGTGCAAGGCATATTCTCTCGCACATTCGTGTTGGAATATAATGGCGAGTTATTTGAGTCTTCTATTATTGACGTACGTGACATGTTTCAGTGTATATAAGCATGATTTGCGTATCCCACTGAAGTGATATATCTATACACACACACACATGTGCATGCAGAGTTTTAGGGTTTGTGAAAAATGATGGAACGGAGCAGATCCCTAGGGGTGGTGGATAGAGAAGACGAGTTTGATGATGATGAAGATCAGCAGGAGAGTATGATCAAGAGCGAAGTGAAAGCCTTGTCCTTCTTTAAACTGTTGAGCTATGCCGATGCAGTGGATTGGATTCTCATGGCGTTGGGAGCTCTGGGTTCCGTAGTCCATGGCATGGCTTTCCCTGTTGGCTATCTCTTGCTCGGAATGGCTCTTAATACTTTTGGCAACAATATCAATGACAGTGACGCGATGGCTAGAGCTCTTAAAGAAAAGGTATAAATAATATAAATCTTCAGTGTTTCAGTAACATGTTCTTCGAAACAAGGAGTTAATATTTTCTGTATACGAGAATTTTGAAGAGTGCATGTGTAGAGTGATCATGCTTCTGAGATGACTGGTGGCTGCAAAAAGCGACGCAGAAACTAGATATTGTTGATACTCTTTACTGTGAAAGGTCTAGGATCTTCATGGTGCGTGGTGATATTAACAATAGTCTTCCTTGTTCATTCAGGTTGTTCCCTATGTGTGGTACATGGCCATCGCCACATTTCCTGCTGGAATACTTGGTATGTTTTTGCTCTCTCATGATTATCAGATCATCACTTCAATTACTTTTTTGTTAGCTAGTGGATATAAAAGTGAGAGAGAGAGAGAGAGTATTGATTGCTTCTTATACATTTAGTATTAAGCACTGCAGAGTCCTGACAGTGACAAAAAAATAGCCAAATACGTTATTTTTCATCCATAGGGACCCTGCTGGCAACGTAAATATTGAAAATAATAAATTCGCTCGTGTGTCTCTTATGCATATCGGTATATGTTATCAGGATAACGTAGTATAAGTTATTTAACTATGTATGGATATCAGTAATGTTGTCGTGTCCACATATATATATATATATATATATAGATATGTATATAACTTCAAATTGATGACCTTCTCTCCAAGGGTAAATGTTGACAACAGAAAATACTAGCAGTCCCACGGGAGGACCCAAACTAAATAATAGTATATACTTTAGAGCTGCCGTTTCTTTAAAATTTAAAAAGAATTTGTCGTATGTATTTCGTATTAGTAAGACACCCACATTGTAGAAGCTCTCACACATGCATAGGTTTAATCTCCCTAAATAGCCGCACAATTAAGTGTTATTCTTTCTTTAATGATAAATAATCTATAATTTGTCCCACACCTCATATACTTAACAAGTCGCACTTTCTCATCTCTTTATTATAATTATCTCTCCCTTAATGCTTAACAACTATATTATATTTCTTTTATTTTAAAATATAAGACACTTTTAGATAAAATTTTACGTACTAATAAATTTTATTAAATGTACTTAACAACCTTATCTTTCAAAAAATAAAATATAAACTTTCAAAAATACCCACCATTTAATATATTAAAAAAAATGTGAATTAATTATAGAGAGATAAAGGATAATATTAGAATTAATGCTTTAATAAAATCTAATCTACTCAAAGTGTCTTATATTTTGGGATGAAAAAACTCCATTAAAAGTGCCTTATAATTTAGGATGGAAAGAGTATAAGATATTCCTGCCATTCTTTAATATAAGATACTTTATGGAAGTTTTATATTAATGAGTGACTTTCAAAAATGCTCACATATTTAATTATACCATGCATGCTTGACTTTAAGATAAAGTTAATAATTTTTTTATAAGACAAAAGAATGAAGTTAATAATTTTAATTAAGGATAATTTAAGATTTGTATATAATTTTTTTTAAAAAAAATAAGACCCTTAACTAATTTTAATCATCTTTCTTAATCTGTGTAATTTAGTTAAGAGTATCTTATAAATAGGACTACAAGGAGTATTAATTTTTCCACCAAAGTACCCTTTGATTTAATATTCCCTAACTAACTAAACAACATATAATCTTTTTAATGAATTTTATTGAGAGTAATTTTAAAATTTTGCAAGAACTAATTAATTTTAATGCTTAGTGGTGCTTAATTATGAAAAGGATCGGAGGGGTATAAATTTACTCCCTCTGGTCTCATTTATAAATAACTTTCAACGTATTTTACTGAAATTTTAAAAAAAAATCTTAAACTCCATATTAATTCTATCTTAAAAATTTATTAAGTTTTTACATCTATCCTTAATAAGGATAAAAAGAATTATTTTTACTCCCTTTAATCTTTTTTATAAATCACTTATAACATATTTTATCACAATTAAAAAAAACCTTAAACTTTATTTTAAAATTTAATAAGTTTTCACGATATAAAAGTAAAGATGAATATAAAATATATTAAAGTACCTTATAAATATAACCAAAGAGGAATATCTGTTTTTGGTATTGAAGCATAAATTTATTTCAAGCTCCTTACATATACAAAAGCAATGAGTTCTAACTGATGGACCAAAAATATATGAACATTAATATAAATTATGTAAATAGTATATATAATATGTTGAAATCCCTCGATCTTTATCGTAAAGATAAACCTTGAGGTACCGAAAATATCATCTTGATAAATTAAATGCTTGCCATTTTCCCCCCATTTTTTTGTCCAAAATGCTTCTATCTTTTGTCAAACCCTTGTTATTTTGTGTGACATAAAATTTGAAAGAATGAAAGCATTTTCTAAACTGACCCGATGTGCTTATTTATGGCATTAAAAAGGAATTTCTCTTATTATATTTATTTAATATGTCACTTCCTCTGGTTCCATTTATAAGGTAGAGAGAGAATAATTTTTTTTTGGTCCTATATATAAGTTACATTATTAAATTTTTATCACAAATTTTCTCTTTTATTTTTCATTAAATGTTGAAAAGAGAAAATATGTTATTAAAGTATATATATTTAATAAAGATAAAGTTGAGAACTTATTACATTTTAAAATAAAATTAATAAATTTTAAAATTTTTTTAATATTAATAAAATATGTTGAAAGTAACTTATAAGTAGGATTAGTGAAATATATAATAGTCAATTTTTTTTAGATGTCTTTGAACACATGTCCTTTAGTTTCAAGTAAGAATGGCAATAAAATTTCAAAACAGAAAAATTTATGACAATCAAGTTCTGACAACATTTTTTAAAAAATAAGTTGTAAATATTGATCTAAAAATTTACCCATAGAAATCCCAACTACAAACTGAATCAATATTTATAACTGATTTTCCAAAAAAAAAAAATCATTTTTCCATAACCTAACTGTTTGGAACTTTAATCCCCTTCTAACTAGCTTCAAGCATAAAGGAGAAAAACACAAAAGAACATAGCAGCCAGAATTTGTCTTTGAATCGATTAGATTTAGATAAAAGAGTAAATTACTTGACCTGTGATTATGAGTTTCTTTTATAAACTGTAATTACCAACATTGGTTAAACAAATTTACAAAATGTTGCTCGACCTAAATTGAAATTTGCAGAGACGGGGTGTTGGATGTATACAAGTGAGAGACAAATAGCAAGGCTGAGATTAGCATACCTAGGAGCAGTACTAAGCCAAGAGATTGGAGCTTTCGATACAGAACTAACAAGTGGCAAAATTATCAGTGGGATCAGCAGCCACATGAGTATCATACAAGATGCTATTGGCGAGAAGGTCTTCAAAAATCTTGCTTACTAGCTTCCTATTATCTGCTTTCCTCTCTTGTCTCTCCATTATCCTTCACCAATTTCTGATGACTGAATCTTCAAGTGAAATTTCTTGATTCCTCACAGCTGGGTCACTTTACCTCATGCTTCGCCACTTTCTTCTCTGGACTTGTGATTGCTGCATATTGCACCTGGGAAATTGCACTTCTGTGTTTAGTGGTTGTTCCCCTTATTCTTCTGATTGGTGCCACCTACACCAAGAGAATGAACAACATATCAACTACAAAAATGAATTACCAGTCTCAAGTCACAGCTATGATTGAACAGGTTGGTATACCTGAGATTGAGAGGCTGAGATAACTAACTCTTCATCATAAGTATATGCATCTAATAGTTTTAACTAGCCCTCTGATTGTAAAATTGCAGACAATATCACAAATAAAAACGGTATATGCCTTTGTTGGAGAGATTTCTGCCATCAAATCCTTCACAGAAAACATGGACAAATTGTACATCATAAGCAAAGGAGAGTCACTTCTAAAGGGGGTAGGAACAGGGATGTTCCAAACTGTAAGTTTTGTTTCTTGGGCTCTTATTGTGTGGGTTGGAGCTGTTGTGGTCACAGCTCATCGAGCTTCCGGAGGAGACATTATTACTGCAGTCATGAGCATTCTCTTTGGTGCCATGTAGGGGACAGGAAACAAAGCAGTCTTCAATTAGATAATTTTCATGGAATGGAGAAGAAAATTTACTATTTTACTGGCAGTAACAAAAATCTCCTTTTCAATTTTTCAGATATTTGACTTATGCTGCACCAGATATGCAAATATTCAATCAGGCTAAAGCAGCAGGATATGAGATTTTCCAAGTGATCCAAAGAAAGCCACTCATAAATAACATATCAGAAGGAAAGACACCTCAGAAGATTGAAGGCTCCATTGAATTGCGTCATGTTCACTTTTCCTACCCATCACGCCTGGAGAAACCTATCCTTCAAGGTTTTTCCTTATCGATCCCAGCAGGCAAGACAGTAGCATTAGTTGGTAGTAGTGGATGTGGAAAGAGTACTGTCATATCCCTAGTTTCCAGATTTTATGAAGCCTCAAAAGGTTTGCACCCCCTTGCTAATTCTAACAATTTATTTGGTCCAAAGGTGTGTACTTTTTGCAGTCAATGGACATTGATAAGGCAGGCAACTATGTAACTGAATGCATGATCATGTGATGATGTGAATGTTTTTGCAGGATGTGAGTGCATGATTATTCATCGGAAAGGGTATCACCAAACTTAAAATGGTCTTAAATTTTGCAGGAGAAATTTTCATTGATCACCATAATATCAAGGATCTTGATCTGAAGTTCCTTAGAAGAAACATAGGGGCTGTTTCCCAAGAACCTTCACTTTTTACAGGCACCATCAAGGATAACTTGAAAGTGGGAAAAATGGATGCTGATGATCAAGAGATACAGAGTGCAGCAGAAATGTCAAATGCACACTCTTTCATATCACAACTTCCAGATCAGTACTTAACAGAGGTCAATTTCTTAATCTCCTATGTCATCTTTTTGTCTTATCACTTCTTAATCTTCCTATCTTACTTGTCCAAGGTTCCTGGGAAAAAAAAAATTAAAAAAAAAAACAGGTAGGACAAAGGGGCGTCCAATTATCAGGAGGCCAAAAACAAAGGATAGCAATAGCAAGGGCCATTCTAAAAAATCCACCAATTCTTTTGCTTGATGAAGCTACGAGTGCCCTGGACTCAGAATCAGAAAAGCTGGTTCAAGAGGCTCTTGAGAAAGCCATGAGTGGAAGAACTGTCATGATGATTGCACACAGGTTATCAGCTGTGGTAAATGCAGATATGATTGTTGTTGTGCAGAACGGACAAGTCTCAGAAATAGGAACACATAACAGTTTGCTAGAAGCAAGTCCATTCTATAATGCACTATTCAACATGCAGAACCTTGAACAAGTTCCTGATTTTAGGTATGATACTGCTTAAACATTCATTTTATGATGCATAAAACCACCTTGGGGGAGACTTATATTCTAACTAGCTGAAAATCTTGAATTGCCAGACCTTCAAGCTCAAAATATAAAACTTCAACTGTCCGAAAGGAAGAATACTTTGAAGAAATTAGATCACAGGAGAATCAACTTGAGATGCTAGAAATTCTCACAGAGAATTCATTGAAAGAGGAACAGATTGGCAGAAAAGAAAGAAGTATTTTTTTTAGAATCTGGTATGGTCTAGAGAAAAGAGAGCTTGCAAAGACTGCTATTGGCGCCTTTGCAGCAGCTTTTTCTGGCATCTCAAAGCCTGTTTTTGGATTCTACATCATCACCATTGGAGTGGCGTATTTCGGTCACGAAGCAAAGCAGAAAGTCGCATTGTATTCTGTCATCTTCGCTGCAATAGGGTTACTTTCATTATTCAGTCACACCTTGCAGCATTACTTCTTTGGAATAATTGGAGAAAAGGCCATGGGAAATCTCAGACGATCTCTTTATTCAGGTATCACGTATTCTCTATTAGAATTTCCAAAGATATTCACTTAAGTTTTATTCATTGAATGAACTTAAGAGGTATATATGAACTTCTGTTAAATGCTTTCAGAGGTACCCAAGTAAAGTAAGCCAAGACAAACATGAACACAAACAAAACACAATCATCACTTGCAAATTAGTCATTACTCCGTTGCATTTTTAATTTGTAGGAGTGCTTCGTAATGAAGTTGGCTGGTTTGACAAACCTGAGAACAGTGTGGGTTCACTAACCTCACGCATTATCAATGACACAACCATGGTCAAAATCATAATTGCTGATCGCATGTCTGTAATTGTCCAATGCATTTCTTCCGTACTGATAGCAACAGTGGTGAGCATGGTTGTTAACTGGAGAATGGGCTTAGTAGCTTGGGCAGTGATGCCTTGCCACTTCATAGGTGGTTTGGTTCAAGCTAAGTCTGCCAAAGGATTCTCAGGAGACAACTCTGCTGCACATTCTGAACTTGTTGCTCTTACATCTGAGTCCACTACCAACATCAGGACTGTTGCATCATTTTGCCATGAAGAGCACGTGTTGAGGAAAGCCAAAGCATCCTTAGACATCCCAAAGAAGAAGTACAGAATTGAAAGCATCAAATATGGGATCATTCAAGGCTTCTCTATTTTCTTATGGAATGTTGCACATGCTGTAGCTTTGTGGTACACAGCAATTCTGGTCGAAAGACGCCAATCTTCCTTTGAAAATGGCATAAGATCCTACCAGATTTTTTCTCTCACTGTCCCTTCCATCACAGAATTATACACGCTAATCCCCACTGTCATCTCTGCTGTCAATGTACTTACACCAGCATTCCAAACCCTTGATCGTAAAACTGAAATTGAACCAGATACCCCAGAAGATATAGAGCCCAAGACAATACAAGGAAATATTGAATTTCAGGGGGTAAAGTTCAACTATCCATTGAGACCTGGGGTGAATGTTCTTGACAATTTCAGTTTAAAAATTAAAGCTGGATCAAAGGTGGCTTTTGTGGGGCCAAGCGGGGCTGGGAAATCCTCTGTATTGGCCCTTTTACTCAGATTTTATGATCCAAGAGAGGGAAAGGTAGTCATTGACGGGAAAGACATAAAGGATTATAATCTAAGATGGTTAAGAAAACAGATGGGATTGGTACAACAAGAGCCGATGCTTTTTAACTGCTCTATAATAGAGAACATTTGCTATGGCAACAAGGAAGCTTCTGAAAGTGAAATAGTGGAGGTCTCTCGCGAAGCAAACATACATGAATTTGTAAGTAGTCTACCAAATGGGTATGACACTGTGGTTGGAGAGAAAGGATGCCAGCTTTCAGGAGGGCAAAAGCAGAGAATAGCAATCGCTAGAACCTTGTTAAAGAAACCAACGATTTTGCTCCTTGATGAAGCAACTAGTGCTCTTGATGCTGAGTCTGAAAGAACAGTGATAAGTGCAATGAAGGCAATAAGTCAAAAGGGAGGGAATGAGTTGCATTCAAGAACCACTCAGATCACAATAGCACATAGGCTTTCTACTGTAATAAACTCAGATACCATTGTTGTTATGGAGAAAGGAAAAATCATGGAGATGGGGTCCCACTCAACCTTGATAGAATCAGAAACAGGGCTTTACTCAAGGCTATTCAGGTTGCAGAGCTTTGAAGAAAGCTGATCTAGGCAAGGATTTTTTATACTGCTTCAAAGTGTGTATAACAACGATCAGTTGTTTAGATAAAGTTATTGTGATCTTGACATGAAATAAGGAGGGGAAATTTTTTCTATGTTAGTAAGTAAAGGTGAAAAAAAAAATTGCTTTGCTCTCAATATTCCACTAGTTGATACCTGATGTGGTTATCTGTAGCCAGTTCAATTTGATTGAAGTGGTTATCAATCTTACATGTAACATCATTTAAGTGGAACTAGGTCTTGAAAAGGATCAGAGCCAAAATTTACCCATTCAATGTGCAAAGCATGTAGAGACCCTTATGGAATGATTTGCCCTGTCAAGGTTGCCTAATTGAAGAAGAATCAAGAATGGTGCTGATTCAGCAGGAGTTTTGGCTTATTGAAGATGTTACATGGCTAATATTGTCATTTAAAAAAAAATCCTAATATCAATTAAATGACAAAAAGAATCAATAAGACTAGGTTTAAATGAGAGTATAACTCCAAAGAATAGTTTTCATTGGAAAGGCCAATCATTTTCAAATTTTTTTAAGCCAAACAACAACAAAAATAAGAAACATTTAAATTTAAAAGTCTTGTCAGTTAAATTACATTGAAGTTTCATTTTGATCGTGCATTGCCACTTTAAATAAAATCATTATTAAATTGAGAAAAGTAATAACTCTGGGAAGATCAGATTAAGATGATTCTATAAAAAATTACAGAGAAAAAAATACCATATATATTGACTAAAATAGAATGTCATTAGATTACATGCTATAACTAAAACTCCTGAATGTGTAGGCCCAAAAATTGGGCTAGACTACGAATAACATATGGTTGTCAAGAAATAATGCTGTAATGGAATTTTTAATGAACACAGGAGAGGGAGGAGGACACGGCTTTGGTTGAAAGGTAAATGACGATGAGCAATAAATGTCAAAACGTTGTGTTACTCAAATTTGTTTCTGGAACAGAATATTGCAGCGACCATGAAATCAAGGGAAACAAAGTGAAATATGGATTGCACCCATGGGGTTTCTTCTTGTTCCCAGTTTATGTATATTTATTATTGCCTCAAGATCACAATATAATTTATTATTAACTAATTTAATTTTTAAAAACATTGGTTAAAATTTTAATATTTTAAAAAATTTCATATATTTTTAGTGTGCTCTTATGTGTAATAAATGTAACATTTGATTTATTAAAAACACTTCATTAATTATTCAATAAAATAAGAATGTAATTAGAATAAAAAATATAACACCTGCTCAATACCTTATATTTTGAATTAAGCAAAATTTTTAAAAAACTATTTATATTATGATCCAAGGGACTATTTACAATTAAAAGTCATCAACCTTTCATCTAAAATTCCCATGACATTTTCTAGAACACCCACGTTGCCTCGGTTATCCAGCCTAGGGAAGTAAGGTCTTTCATCTAAAGCTACAATGTCCTGATGATGTCCATGGAAATGAACATGCTAGTAGCTTATTACCATTCTGGTTAATGGAGTTAGTATCCAACATCCAATCAGGATATGTACGTAAATCTGCTAGAATTTTGTGAGATTATATATACAATGAGTTCTTGTTATGTACAATTGTGATTCCCAATATGGCAGCAGGCCGCTTAATCTTCATATTTGCTCATGCCACCAATCTCGCTCTCAGAAAGCAGGTGGTCTCTAATTTTTCTGTAGCTCCTGAGCTCTTCTAGTGCATCAGCCATCTTTCGACGCCCAAAGACTCCAGCACCAGTAGCAATATCTTCCTCAGTTTCAGTTTTGAGAGACTGGGATGGAACACAACTTGGATCTTGCGGCAGAGGAGGTGCTGCTCTAAGCTTGCATAGAAGAGCACCAATAGCTGCATCTTGGGATTTTCTGCCCATAGGCAGTGCTTTTGATGTGATTTCTGAAGTATTATCATCATCCACATTCTGACTACTCAAGGAGAAAACCGACAAATAAGAAAAGGCAGTAACATAAAGATAATAGGACAAAAATTATATCCACTTAAAAAAGACACCTAGAAGCGGGTCTAAACACCCATTTGAGTGGGCATCTTAAAGCAAGTAAAATAAGAGTAATCGGGGAATTACTAAACCATCATATATAATTCACTCTTCCAATTTAAGATGCTAACAAACCCTAGGAGCATGTTACCAGCAGAAGATAATGTGCAATCACATGCCCCTGAAGTCGTCAGTACATGGCAAATTGCTAAGTCAGAACCTAACACAAGTGATTTGGGTAGGGGCAGGGCAATCACAACCTTAAATTTTGGGGATAAATTTTTTGGGAAAACAACAATTTTTCGAACCAATTTTGAACATATTAACTTCATATCTTTTCTATTTCCCTGTATGCTAAAAAAATAAAAACAATTTTATTCTTAAAAGAAGCATATATTTCTTTTGGTAAGCGAGAAAAGCTAATGAACAGATAAGTTTGTTTAATCTCATCAAACAAATTTTTTCATTGCTTATAATTGTAACTTGAAGCTGACTACACCTATAATTCTATATAAAATCATCCATCTTAGGGGATATTATCTTCATATATAACACTGACACTGGGCTTTGAGAGATTAAATAAAGAAGGCTATCTTTTTTTGAGTAAAACTTTTTTTTTTTTTTGGAGTGAAACTAGAAGGCTATCTTTATAAACAATAATAAACGCACGTTTTTTTTTTTTTGGGTCCTCGATACAGCAATAAGAACCTTTTTGATCTTGCTTATTACTTTCAGCTTATTTAACCATGAAAAGGAGTGTTTACACTGGCTAATAAAGGACTGACTGTTAGCTAAACGCATCTTGAAATATATTACTCGGAAAATTTATTACCTTTAATATCGTTTTGGTTGAAAATAATTCCAGTGTTTACTCAAAAATCACATTCAAACATTTGTAAGATAAACTTTAAACCACCTTGAGAAAAGACAGTGAAACATATGAAAATCTCAGGAGTACAACAACCTGATAAAAATATCATTGAAATCCCCAAAACAGGGCAAATCCACCTTCTGAAATATCCCATGGATCTTCTGCAGTATTTTACATGATAATCAGTCTTTTGAATGTCTCTAAGAACATTGTCAGTTTCAGAGAGCCAATCTAGCAAGCGCAGAACCAGATCCTGAATTGATTTATTTCTATTACCGTTCAGATCATTCATGCAAGTTAAAAACCTTCTAATCTGGGACATTTTACATATCCCCTAATTTAGCATCCAGATGTAGTTTAAAAACTTAATTGTCCAAGGAGGATGATTTGCTGAAGATGCATTATGACCTTATAGTGATAAATAAGAGGACTAATTAAGGTACCTGGGCTGAAAACCTAGCATATCGACATCATCAACATGGAAAGGATAAGAGACATCCCAATCATCAAAGTCATCCTGAAAAGATAATTTACTGGAGCTTCTAGAAAGTCCAATGCATAGTGAGCGTCTAGAAGGTAATGACCCAGAGAACCGCCGTGAATCATCCTTGTTGTCTCTGACAATCTATGAAGCATAAATATAGCTGATTAAAAAGAAATCGACATTTGAACTTTAGAAAGAAAAATGAAGGACCAATGTTACCTTTCGAACGCCAGAATTTACTGTCCTAGAATGTACACCTCCAGCCCGGTGAGCCTCTATTTTCGTTGATGACCTGATGCGAGACGAAGACTTATGTAACGAATTATCATTCTTGGTGCTTCTAGGGGATAAAAGAGGCAGTGAATTTCCACTAGAATCTGAAAAATCAGGAGAGAAATTTCTAGAGCCTTTGCCCATTCCTGAAAGGGGAATAGCTGCAGGGACAGTTGCTAAAGGCAATTGAGTTTGCATTGGATTGTCACTAAAGAATGGACGTGGGGATAGAGAAGAAGACGGAGATGGTGATGGTAAGAATGTACAAGGTCGATGCTCACCATAACTTGTACGCCTTTGTTGAGTTAGATTTGGATAGTTGGGAATCTTGTTACCAGAATCATCAGTTGGAAAATCACTTGTCCTGCGACAAGGACGACATATTGGTGGGGATCCAACAATGGTTTGCTTCTGCACAAGAGGTGCGGCCTTGCGGAACGCGCTTGTCCAGCTACGAAGATGAAGTTCAACAGCCACAGAAGGCAATGACATCAGAGGGCTGGCATTAGGGCTTCCGACATAATCCTTGATTAGTTTTGGTGGCGATGGAGTTGAGAACTCAAGATTCAAATTAGACAATGTGCTACGGTAGGTCACGGATATACAAAAGCGTCCTGGAAAAGCCTCAATGGCTGTGAAACTGTATTCTTCCATCATGTCCTCCTCAGTCCGTGAAAACGGATTAGTAAACGAAGACACCTCGGAAGTAATATCAAAATTACAAGTATGACTTGATGAACTTCGTCGTCTAAATATTGTATGTGCTGGGAGAAGCCTCATTCGAGAATAAAGCGATCGGAACAGGACTATTGACTTCTGGTATGCCTTCTTGTAGTCGCTAGGAATGTCCCCAGTTCGAGGAGCCAGTAATCGCCGGCGCTCATACTCAACAACCCACCGCTCTATCACAGTCTTAGTCGCATTCCGAACTATGACAATGTCAATTATCATCGGATCCATTGAAGTTCCGCGCCAGAAGTTGAAGTTATCTAGAGCGGCGGGTTGATTACCTAATAACAAGTTAAACCATTTGTCAATCTCGTTGGCGCTAGAACTCGTTGGCAGATCACAACTATCAAGCGAGTAAAGCGAAGGAACCCTCGAACCTACAATGACGTGCAAGCTCTTCGAATAAAAGTGGGAAATAATATGTTCTAATTTGCGCAACTCTGATTGCATGTTACCACGAAAAGAATCGAGTAACTAGAAAAAGAGGGTATCGCGGATTGTCTTTGTCTGCCGAGGATGCGAAAACAGCTAATCGTAAGATTTCTATTCACAATCAAATCAAAATTCAATGAAGCTAACACGAAGTTGGAATTCAGGAGCTATGCGCATGGCTCGTCTGTCCCCTGTGCAGCCCAGTGTTTCTTGACTGAAAAAAACAGGCAAAAGCATACGAAACCATGTTATTTATTTGACCAAGGAAGAAAAATCTTCATTGTTTTGTAAAATATTTTCAGTTGTAATTCTTCACTCAACATATTTCTTTTAAAAAATAATCAAATGGATTGATATAATATAAAAATAGAATTATTTTTCATTTTTTTCCTTGTTATTTATTTAAACGCGAATAATTTTTTTTTTTATCCATTCGCGGGGGCCGGGGGATCGAAAACGTGTAAAATTTTTTAATGGATGTTTTTTTTTTTAACCAGCTATCATTTTTTTTAATGAATTGCTGCTATGTTTTTGGGTCAAATTTATTTTCTAAATCTAAAGTCTGCACAAGAGGATGTTTCAAATATTTTGGTGCTACTATAACAAATAATTTTTTTAGAAAATCAAATTTTTTCTAGAAAATCAAGTCGAATAAATTTATTCTAATTTTTATTTCTAGAATAAATTTTTATTATAAATTTATTTTTAATAAATTTTTATTTTTAACGTGTATTATGCTATAGCATAGTATTGGATTTAAAAAAAATCACAGATTTTTTATTTAATCCCCAGTGTCATGTGATTTTGGCTTACATGGACTTCCATCTATTATCCCCCCTAAATAATAAAATGAAAATCTAAATGTATCTTAAATTTTTGAAAACTACAATTATATTAATTAATAATAATCAAAAGTCACAATCATCAACCGTCGATAACCATCATTATCGGCCGATTGTTTTAATTTTAATTTTTTTTAAATTAATACAATCAAATAAATTTTCTAATTTGTTTTGAAAAACATTTTTTAAAATTGTATCACAAGACTGTTTAAAAAAAAAAAACCAAACAAGATTCCATTATATGCTTTTCAAATTGTTTTCGGCTAGGACATCTTCTTTTTCACATTTTTGTACATATATAAGTAAAGAAAAATATATGCCTTATTCCGGATGGGGCCCATTTTTTCTGGGCATAAAGTTTTGTGTAGATCCATGGATTTAGATTATTAATTGGGCTAAATACGTAATAAATACCATAATTACTATTTCTAAACTTTTTTTTTGGGATAAAATTCTAAACATTTTTTTGACTGCACTACTTTTAAATATATTCTTACCTCACCGTCATTTGATATGACCTTCGATTTTTAATAATTACTTTTTTATGTAAATTTTTAATAATTACTTTACTATTTCAAAGGAATTTTTAATAATAAGTATGTAAGGAATTATGCTCGCTTAATTAGTGATCTCGAGTTCAAATTCTAGACATGAAGGTATGTTAAATACTCATTAGAGAATTTTGTCACCAATAATCTTACCTGGCTCGACTTATAAATAATAAGCAATTATTATACTTTAACCAGCTTTCTTCATATTTTAATCACATAAATTTTCCCTTCATTTTAAGAACATACATTTTCGTCTCAATTGTTAACCATAAAAGAATATTCTACATAGATTCTAAAATATATTTTTAATTGAAAACAATATTAAAATAAATCTTATTTACAAATTTATCCCTTATCATATTAAATCTCTAATTTATAAGTTTGTTTAATACTTATTAGATATCCATTGGTAGAAAAAAATTAATTTTACTTTAAGAATAAATAACAACTCAATCAAAATTTCATGGAATTATTTAAAAAATAAAAATTTAACAAAATTTATTTAAAAATTACAAATAATAAAATTGACATATTAACATCATAAGCTCGAAATTATATCATTTTATAATTTAATAAAATAATTATGCTCTCTCTCTCACGTTTTTAGCCTTCACATATGTTTAAAGGATGACTAAATAAATAAGCTTTTAAGTATCTAAAATTACCAAAATACTAAAATTTTAGAACTATAAAACTAATCAACTTTATAATATATTGAAATTAATTATTTTAATAATATAAAAAATGCGAAAGATATAAAAATTATATTTTTGGACAAATATAAGTCTTTAAATATCTTTTTTAAGTAATATTTATGCTAGAGAGGGTTATTTTGATCAAAATAAAATCCTAACACCGTGATTTAACAATCAACCTTTAGATACATGGAAAAAGAATCTTAAAATTAAAATGAGATATTCATATGGGTCTTAAAATAAAAAAGAGGTCTATGTAATTTAGATCAAATAGATGTCAAAGTGTTCATAAAAAAGAAGAAGAAGAAGAAGAAGTCAAAGCATTTTACTCGTTATATATATATATATATATATACACTCTCATTATTCAAAAATATAAAGCAGTTTTAATATTTTAAACGTAAGAATTGTTTTTTAAAAAAATACTCCTAATAAATAAATTATTTTATATTTATTTTAAAGTAACACACTTTATTAAATAGGAATAAACATGAAAAGATGATACTAGTTTGAAAACAAATAACTACTTTATTAAAAAATAAAATTTATTTAAAAATACCTTATATTTTTTAATAAATAAAGTACACACACATATGTGCACGTCTTGGAAGAGAGTGAGGGAACAGAGTGCATAGAGAAAAGAGTGGGGAGAGTGGTGGTCATAGTTGAAGCCTAGAAGGTAACAAAATAGTCATTAAGCTATTAAAATGGTCATAAAATGTTCATTAGATGGTTCAAGTAGCATTCAAAGGTGTTCAGATTAAATCAATGGCAACACTTAAAGAATGCAACAAAGAAAAGAGAGCGAAAGTAACACTTAATCATATTTGAAGAACATAATAATAGGTGAATTGGAATAACAAACCTACCTTATGGTCAGACAAATGCTTACAGACTGGAGAGCATAATCTTATCAAAATTATGTAAATGGCACCAACAAAAATATGGAGAGTGCAACCTTTTTTTCAAAATAAGCGACAAAAGCTCGTTTTCAAAGCAATCTTACTAATATCACTTGCCAACAGGTTTCTATTCTAAAACAATAAAATAGCAGGGGAGGCAAACTCAATGGCGGCTTCCTCGCTTCCCTCTCAAATCTGGATCCCTGGAGCCAGGCATGAACGTGTAAGAGGAATGCTGAAACAGGCTATCATGTAACAATAGTCTTACAGAGAAAGAGCAAGAGACGTGAGGTTCATATCTATTCCTATGGGTAATGGGTCCCTTAGAAATAAGTCTCAAGTCTCAACTCTCACTCTCCTCTCCTCTCACTTCACTTGAAGTGAATTAAGAAGATTTTGTTTGTAAAAGAGTTAAAACTCGTAAGGCCATACCTCTCAATGTGATCTAGAATCAAAAGCCTTGGCCCAGGAGGGATTTTCACATCTCTGAGAGCACTGAAACACGTTGTGGAAAACAACGGATTTACACACCGAATCATGATAACCAATATTAGGAACAGGAAAATGACAAGATATTAACGAAATTTTGACACAATCATCCAACCGACTACCTGTCCGTGAGTAAAGGCAAAGTGTTGTCCGTTAACATGCCTCTCTTAAAATTTTTCTCGTAACTTTGGAGGCCTAGGTTGTGCAACATATGTCTCGTTTTAGCATAATGAATATCTTCAGTTGGAGGTTTAGAAAACTTCTGTCCAAACTGCATCATATGTGGGACACGCACTTAGCAAGGAAAAGGGGCTCAATGGACGGCAAATTATGAACCAACAATAGAAAAATTGTTACGTAGCGATACAGGCAAGCACAAGTTATCATGTCATAATTATTAGTTGAAGGCTATAAGAAAAAGATCCATGAATGATTCCCCTAAGGTAGTGTTTGGTTGGAGGGGAGGGAAAGGGAGGGGAAACAAGGGGAGGGGAGATTTTTTAAAATTTTCCCTCCTCTCCCCTCCAAAACCTTCCCCCCCCCCCCCATTTGGGGGGATGCACCCTCCCCTCCCCTCCCCTCCTCCTCCCCCTCCCCCCTCCCTCCCCTCACCTTCCTTCCCCTCCATTCCCTCCCCTTCCCTTGAACCAAACAGAGCCTAAAAGTTCATCTCTGGACCATGATTATATATTTGCCGTGCAATGATGCCAACATGCAAAGCCAGATACGACTAAGGCCCTGAAAAACTTTGCAAAGACAGGTATTGCTTCTTCTTTCATGCTCACCTGGAAAATTCCACCTTGAACAAGTGCAAAGAAAAGTCCAGAAGTGACTGCATTTGCTGCTAGATTTGGTCCACCCATGCCACTTACCAACGAAAACATGGCCCCAGAACCAAAAGCAGCTGCCATGCTGCATTAGAATTATATAACCATTCAAAATCATATTTGCAGCTAGAAAAAAAATTGCTGGTAACAAGGAAAAGGCAGACCAAAATAGTTGACTGCTTTGAAAACGAAATAGCTTTTGTTTGAAAAATAAAGGTGAGTCAAATTTGACCCTTAAAATATTGTAAAGATTGTAGGAATCATTTCTAGTACCTTGATCCTCAAGTCTGATTAGCAAGATACTTATTCCAAAAATACTTAACGACTACAATTGCGTCAATTACATATTTATTCTTCCTCAATAGGTAGAATTTGATAATTTTATTAGAAAGCCACCAATGAAACTTCATCATGGATTGAAGAAAAGTTCTCTGATAAAACTAGTGCACAGAACTGGGCATCAAAAGGAATACTGAAACAGATTTATTACCCCATATACATTGTTATTTGAACAGTGCTGAATATATTATCACGTTTCAATAGAGCTCCAAATTTAATCTCCTTCCTTATGTGATATGTAAGTTGCCGTCTTTTCCATATATACATGGGTTTGATCCCATTCCAGGCAGCTGGAAAGGTTGATAAATTAAAAGGTCAAACAGAGCCCAAATACTTTATTTATTTCGGGTCCTCTTCAGCATCAGATATTTTTGCTGCATAGCATACAATCATATCCATAGGTTATTATCTTTGACACTGATAGACCTTACACTAGCTTACCATTGCTTTTGGCTTTTTATCTTTACCTTATGACAACTCAAAATGCCAAAAAAAAAAAAAAATTGGGGGTGGGGGGAACCTACTAAACTATGTTTGAAGAAGGCTCATGCCTGTTAAGCACTTCCATAATTAAGATAGGGTCATTATGAGTTTCACAATTTCAAACTAGGAATGAGTTTGCGAAAGTAGCCCCAAATGATAGCCGTTATATATTACTTGCAACAATGCCACGTATCATTTGTAGTTAAGGAACAATAAAAACAGAAGAAATAGATTTCTGAATCTCACCTGGACTGGATGTCTTCCTTGCCCCTGATTCTTTTCAAGACACAGGAAATACCAGCATTGACTCCTGTCATGACAGCAAAGTTGCGAGCTTGTACCAAAGGACCCCCAGAAAGAGCCTAAACAAATTGTTATAGTAAGAGAACAGAAAGACTAGGAAAAGGTTATTCGGCCAGTTATATGCCACTAGAAAAAACAATAACGCTTAGATTGAGCTATGACTTCCATTTCCATATGAGGAAAATTCCTCTGTTAATAAATTAGAAGCCCAAAGTGGAATATAAGAGCAACATGGAATACAACCACTTGAAGAACCAGCAAGAACTGGACTATCGATGCAGTTGGGAACACTTTAAGTTCTATTAAACCCTTGACCATTATTGATAATAAAGATAAAAGATCTCAAAGCTGGGAACATCAGAAAGGAATTACGATTGAAAAGTTCGGGTCGGGCATCGAATAAAAACACACAAGATAATTATAGATTGTGGGCATGGAGCTTGAAGGGAATTCAAAGCAACAAAACTAGGATCGTAGAAGGAGAAGAGGAAAAGGAAAATAACAAACCTGCGCTTGCTGAAGGGGGGCCATGGCTTGAGAATTGAGAGAGGCCTGAGGAGGAGTGGGAATAGAGGAAGCGTCGGGGGCAAGAGTACCCATGAAGACACCGATGGCGGCCCCTTGGACGGCGCTGGTGGCGGTGACGACGGCAGCCTCAACAGGCAAAGACTGCTTGGACAGCCAATGCCTGAAGCCATTCTCCAACTCCTTGAAGCGAAGCTGGATATTCTCAATGGGGTTCTGGAGCTGAGGAGGCATCACCTTCGCCACCGCTATTCCGCCCTTCCCTTGCTCCATTTCCTGCTCCAGTTACCTCCTCTTCAACTCCACGGTGCCGGTTGGATAACAAAGATCGTTTCTTACTCTATAGTTTTGATTTTTCAATTTAATTTCTGAACAGAAAATACAAGAAAACCAAGACAAAAGAAAAAGGGAAAAACCCTACCCGGGTCGACAACCCACCAATTTCCTAAAGAAGCCGGGCTTTACAAGGAGAGGGAATCCCCCCAACCCCTCAACAAAGCAAATGGAGAGCCATGAGAAGCAATTCGTTAACCATCAATTATCAAAGTATTTACCGTAAGAATTGCATGTATTAATATGTAATCTATCTTTAAATATAATTGTTTTTAATAAAAAAATACGTGTCAGTGATAAAAAAAATTATTAAAGCATATTCTTTTTTTATAACTACTATATAGAGTAAGTTAGAAATTAAGATCAAAGAAAATTCTACTCCCTGAATTTCGTGAGATTCCATTGACAACTTTAATGAGATTAAAAAATTTAATTAAAAGTAGTACTCTTCAGATTTTATTATAAGGGGATCTTCTAAAAGTAATAATTTTTTGTCTTTGATGCAAGTTAATTGGTGAAGTATTAATTATATTTTTTTTTAATATTGCCCTTATCTAAATTCATTAACGAGATAAATTATATTGTAAATTTAATTTTTTTATTTAAATAATGATAAAATTAAAAATTTATTTTATTTAAAAAAAATTAATCACTTAATATTTTCTTCTTGATTTTAATATTGTAGTTAGGAGTGCCTTCTATTAAGAAGCTAAATGTTAAAAATTTTAACAGCGTTTCAAAGCAGCATTTTAACGGGTACTTTTGCTTTCCACGATTCCCTTTTTCTTCAGATATTGTTCGATCTAAAATTAAATAAATTTAATTTAATATTATTTTCATTATATTTATAAGTCACTTTTAACTATCTCACATAGTTAAAAAATAATAATTAAATCATTAAAATTGTGTAAAAGTTAAACAAAAATTAATTTATTTTTATTAAATGCATTATTTTTAATAGTATTTTACCTCTCAGCACATAATTAATACTTCTTTCTTCATTTTTAAATATAAGATAAATTATTATGTGTCTCTTTATTTTTATTTATAAGTAAAATTATAAATTTTAAAAATCATTTATCACATTTTCCTCATATTGGCCCTCATAAATTCAATATTTATTTTCACTAAACATATTTATTTTATTAATCACTTGTATAATTTGGTAAAAATTTTTAATTTTTAAATATAATTATTATATTTAATTAACTTTTTTAAACTGATAGAAAATGAAGAAAGTATAAGAGATTGGTTTCTAAGTTTTAACTGCTTGTTATTTGGTTGGTAAGCTTACAAGGCTTTCATTCTATGATAATTTTATCAAATATTAATTATATTTAGGTTTAATTGTTACTCCCTCCATTTAAAATATAAGAGATTTTTGAAGGGTTATATGTTAAAAAATATAATGCATTTTTAATGTTTTAAGACGTAATTAATGTATTTTTTTTAAAGTATCTATAATAAATAAATTACTTTATATTTAATTTAAAGCAAAATTTTCTATTAAATAAGGATAAATAAGAAAAAATTATGTTAGTTTGAAAACAATTTACTACTTTATTAGGAGGTAAAATTTAATTAAAAAAGCCTTACATTTTTAAATGAGAGGGAGTATGAAAATAAATATTAAATAAATTGAAGTAATTAATCTACTATCTCTTGAAAATTTTTTATTGTACATAGTATTTTTTTATTAGAAGTAATCATCTTTTTATGAGAATTTAAATCTTAATTTATCATAATATAAAAAGCTAGTGCCTTTCGAAATTCTCAACTCCATTGATTCTTGGAAAACATTTTTTAGCATGAAGTAACAGGAACAATGAAACAATAATAAGGGAAGTTTTTTAAAAATTGAATGGAGCTGAACAATCCACCAATTAGACTGTCAACCAGGTGGCATAACGGCTCAATTTTCTTTAAAAAAAAAAAAACCATTCAAAAGGTTGAGCCATGCTGAACTAGATAAAGAATTGGAACCCACAGTTAGATTGGGGATCATACTTAGTCAGACCAGTTTGATATTTAAAAAAAATCAAAATTTTAAAATTAAATTACAATGTTTAGCAGGCTAAACCTGAACTGAAAATTGTAAATCCTCAATTAGTATATTTTTTAATAATTCACATGGCAAATGCTAATTCTTTTCTACACATTTTTTTACAATTTCATATTTATTTTTACATCTATAACTCTATATTATTAAATACGTATATAATATTATTTTTATTAAATTATTGAGTCACCAATTTGATCACCTATTTAATAAATCTATTAGACCATGAAAAATGTGAATCATTAACCTTTTCAGTTTTTGTTCTAATCTGATTTTTAAAACACTGATGAGGAAATAGGAGGATCAATATCATATCACATCATGTAATATAAATTCAAATAAAAAAAGTTCACAAAATAAAGCATTAAAAACGTAACAAGTTAAAATTGAAAAGTTTAAGAAAATGGATAAGCAAACTTATATGATTAAGAAAACGAGGGAGTTAACAAGATGCCCAAAGCCATTTTCCCCTCCAAAACGATCAGCATGAGCATCTTGTGCAATCAAATCAAAGGGAAGGAAAAGCCTGGGAAAACAAAATAACCAAAGCAAAACAGAATAAGGTGTTCAAACCAAAGAGCAAGAAATGAGATAAATAAATGTATGTTTCCAAATTCGTATCATCCTTTAATATATATATATATATATATTAAATTACTATAATTAACTTGTATAAAAAAAATTACCATAATTAACCCATTAGCTTTAACCTCCTGCCGATCATTATTCATCTCGAATTAAGGGAAGCTTTACTTATTACAAATTTATTCCCAGAAGGATCGATCCTTATTTACACAGATGAGAATTTCTTGGACAATGTACAACTCGGCATCTTGATTTGGACAGAGGATATAAAGTATGAACTGGGACTAAGGCTAATTAATTGCCATGAAGACATGTAGCCTTAATTTGGTTCTGAAGCAACGATGAAGCCATTGAATAAGGTCATTATATACATCTGGCGGGAAGATTGACTTCCAGGATATATATATACTTGGCTTCGCTAGGAGCCCCCTCCCCGGATCCTTCCAAGACCATCCTCCTGATGGTACCATTATTTTCTCAGATCAAAGGAAGTTTAGTCGCTGATTAAGAAATAGCGTTGAGAAAGTTAATTAGGATGAATATGAAGAAAAAGACCACAGGCACAGAAAAAGGAGAGAGAATACTAGAGGAGCTGGTGGAAGCCACCTCCTTCACAGCCTTTCCATTTGGCTGATAAATCTGGTAAGGCGGAGGTGGAGATACAAAATTATTAGGCCTCTTCACTCTGCATGCAAACTCAAATATTACAATTCTGTACTTGTGTCATCATTTTGTTACACACACACACACATAACTGGTGTAGTTAGATGCACCGTGCACGTACCTGTTGGCGTTGGGACAGAAAACGATGTCGTATTCGTAGGCTTTGCAAGTGAAAGTGCTGGTGCCATCATCAAAAGCGTAGCTATAAGCTCTGGGGCAAGCCCTCTTGAAAATGGTGGAATAGTAACTGGGTTGGCACGTGGTTGGGTTCGCATACTCTCCACTGCAACAGTACTGATCCAACCCAAAGGCCTCGCACGCACTCTTGCACCCAACTACACCACCTTGGTATCCTCCTTCTCCACCAACCACTTGAAGCTCTTTAGGGCATCCTGCATGCACAAAACCATCAAGAGAATAATATTGTTTTTCTCGTCATGAGAACTATATATACAGCACAAATATATAGTAAGTATTGGAAGGTTTCGAGTTTCAAGATAGTCTTACCTCTATTCAGATCAGATACACAACCTGTGGCATTACAAGCGCCTCCACTGTACACACCTCGAGGCACTGCAAGGATTGGCAGATTGTAGCCATCCACCATACTTACATCGTAGTAGTCTCGTGTATTGCCTTCTCCCAGAGTTATCTCGAACAGGGACGTCGGTGGGGCCGCGCCATTCCCGTCACACTGAAGCCTTCCTCCACAATCACCTGTCTGGCATTTCCCAATACCTGAAGCGTCAAAATTACAACCTGTTCTTGCCCATATCCGACCCGACCATCCTGGAACGCCGGTGAGTTTCCCGCTCTGGCCGGAGTTTAATTGGAATCCTGTCGTCGTCAGTTGGGGTGAACCGGAGCCAGCGAGGGTGCCGGGCCATATGGTGTAGGGGCAGTTGTTGGTTATGATGAATATGCTTGACGACGATGCAGACAAGAAGACGAAGAGAATGAGAAGGAACCCGGGAAATTTCCAGGACGCCATTATTGGTTGGCATTCACAAGGGGTTGATGGAGAATCCAACTTCGTCCTATATGTAACTTGTACGTTTCTGGAACTGTGCATTACAAAACCAAACCGTTACGTTGCTTTCGTGAAATTCTTCGATCGCATGCAGCCGCAAGGCGGTGATTCTGGGTTTGGTATTTCTTTTCTTGCAGCTGGCCTCGTGGAGAAGAAATGCTTTGCTTTTGCGGTTTCATGGGAAATTGTGCAAATCAGGAAATCCAGAAGTGACCTCTCTGACTGGAGGACCGTGGATTTTCTTTTGAAAATCCTATCAGTAGGATTCCAGTGTACACGTCGCACAAGATTATCCTAAAGAGAAGTGATCTGAGATTCTCCCTGTAATCAATACAGAAAAAGAATACTATTATATTGAATTGATTTGAGTATCAGATTCAGATATCCCATTACCAACAGTTGACCCTTCAGGCCCGCAAAAGCAGAAAGTTCGTTTGCAACAAGGCTTCCCGGTAACTTGTCCTGGAGAATATTTTTCACTACCCATCGTTTGATATCAAGGTTGTTAAATTTATAAATTTAAATAAATTTGTGATAGAAATATAAATTCATATCATAAATTTAATTTGTAAACTCATAAAAATTTACCTCTATCAACAAATAACTATTAAAATATGACTGTAATTTAATTTAAATATATTAAACCATTTATATTAATAAATTATCATATATAAGATATAAAAATTTTAAAATTGAGAACTTATTTTTAGTATTTTTGTTTTCTTTTTTATTAATATTAGTTTTTACATTTTAAGTTTTTTTCTTTTGAATTAGGTCCTATAACTTTTATGAACTAAATTCTTCTTAATTTATACTTAATTGGTTCAACTTAAAAAAAATTAACAAGCTTAACAAGTTTAATCAAACTTACACATAATTTGAGTTTATGAATTAGTTGATACGATTTTATAAATTAAAAATGTAAAAATAATAAACTCTAAAGTGAACTTGTAAGTTTAACCAAATTTGTATTTCGTTTGAGTTTATGAGTAAATTGACACGATTTTATAAGTTAAAAATGTAAAAATATTAAACTCATAGAATTAACTCGAGAATTTGACAATTATGTTTGGAATATAACCATAACTCCTTAATTTCAAGGAAAATTACTACATTTATTCGCCTTAATTTTGCAAAAACGCCATCAAGAGATTTTTCTAATACTTTTTTCACGGTAGTTATATTTTGTAGATTGCCCCAGAAAAGGACAGACGGAATAATTATATAGTCAAAAAGAAATCAAACATTCACTGCAATTCAAGATGCATGGAAACTTGCTCGTGGACAATATATGATAATCATGACCTCTTGCAAGATTCCACCATGTCGCATCCCTTCATAGTGATTTTTTTTGGCTCTGTATCCCTCATTTTCCCAGATTGGCAGAGCTATTGGGAGTATGTTTATTTCTTCGGTAAACAAACAAAAGGTGACAGACCAGGAATATCAAAAGTTGGAACCCTGAAAATGAATTTAGGAGATTACAAGCGAATGAATTTAGGAGAAACTAAGAGGTGTCTTACTCCAAGCTAAATTGGGATTGGACATGCCTAATATTTCAGCTTTCCTCATCTTGCATGTCTGGGTCATCTCCTCAATATTGCAATCCGCATCTGAGCTTTGCTTCTGAACACCCTGCATATTTTGCCAGGTTCATCTCCCTCCAGCTTGTGAGGTTTCATGCATATGCTTCTTGATGATTGCTGCATAAACTTGAGGTAGAACAGAGCATCTTTCATGATAGCAGGCTTAGTTCATATTCCTTAGTTTTGTTCTTATCAAAATCTGTTGTGAAACCTCAGGCCAACAACAGGGCAATTAGTGTCACCATTGACATAACACTAGCACTACTATAAAAAGAGCTTTTCAGGTTGCTTTTTTAGGGCATTTCACATCTCTGTCGTGGGAGATATAGATCCGAACGACATAGTAAGTTGACTTATTTACGTCACTTTTATGAGGAATGTGAAGAAACCACGTCTCTTTTTTACAAAAAGTAACGTGATTTCTCTAAAAACAAGATATTAAAATAATTTTAATTTAAATATCTGTCATTCTTATTTTATCATTTTAGTTAGCCATGAATTTCACAAACCTAAAAAACATAGTACAAGAAAAATAAAACCATGCTAGATTAATTTATGTTAACCATGAACAACTAATTATTTCACCAAAATCTATTGCAGGAAAAAATCCATTGTTGAAATTGCAATTTGAAATGAAACAATATAAATTTTAAAATTTGATTAATCAAAAATCCCCTTCATCTCCTTTTTAGCCTACTCTCTCTCTCTTTGTTTTTTCTTTTATGGGAAGATTCATTAACTCAAAGGAAAAATTATATGAGGTTCATAAATATTAACTTTAAAGCAAAAATGAATAAAAAATGATACCAGAATTGATGAAGAAACTAAAGATCATGGAGAAGGCTCAAGCAAAGGTTAGAAATATCCATAAAAGAAAAAAAGATTTATGGGTAAAAGTGACACTAACAAACTACTGCTCACTCAGGGGAAAGACAACAAGTTGTGGGTCTTGACCATGAGTCGAAGCTGTCAGTTGAATGGGAGAAATAGGAGGAGACGAGGAGAAGCAAGAGCTGTTTATCGAATGCTCGTCGTTGAATGCTGGCCATAGATCTCAATTAAATATATTAGTTGTATATCTCGATGCTATAGGTCTCAATGCAGTAGGAAGGAGAAGAGAGAGTTGCTGTGTGGAGGAGAGGAGAGAGCTGTAGTGGGGAGAAGAGAGATGTGTTGCCATCGAAGGGAAAGAGGGAGAGGAGTTAGGTTTCAAAATACAACATGATAAAGCAAGGAAGGAGCTCAATATGATTTAAAAAAAGTTGGCTAAAATCCACGTCACTTTTTAAGAAAGTGACGTGAAAAATGTCTAAAAAATTAATAATTTAAAATAATTTATTTTTTACAATTCATGTCACTTTTTTAAAAAAGCAATATGGATGAATTATTCATATAATAATTTAAAATAATTTATTTTCTACAATTCACGTCGCTTTCTTTGAAAGGGACGTGGATAATTTATCCACATCACTTTCTAAAAACCAATGTGGAAAACAACATAAAAAATGTTTAGAAATTAATAATTTTTTTCACAATCCTCGTCATTCTTTGTAAAACAATGTGGATTTAAATTTTGATGTCATTTTTATGGAAAGTAACATTAATAATATTATATATTCAATACTTATTTACAAAATTACCACCATCTCTATTTTTATGTCACTTTTACAAAAAGTGACGTAAATTGTATATTTTGCAGTAGTGTAGAAATGGATAGTCCTACTACTAGAGAGTTCACTAAAGATATAATTGCAACTAGAAAATGGATGCAATTATGCAAATAGAGCCTGCTCAAATTCTCCATTATATTGTTCAACAATCAACGATCAAAGTTACTTGAAGTTCTACATTACATCAACATTACTAGGATACTCACCAATATCAAGGAGTAATCTAATGCTACATTTAATTTTATGACCAATTTTTGTTCAATAGAAAAGGGATAATAATTTTTCTTTTCAGTTATGACTAACATCAGAGAAAAATCTTTTAAAAGGAGAAGCATGAGTTTGTGAATCTCGTCTTCACTTAAAACTGCAGCCATTAGAGCAAAATTGTTTGCATCAAGCTTTCTCATGACACCTTTCATGGCTTGCTCCTCCACTTGTGTGAGAGTAAAAAATTTGACCACTAGCTCAGTAAAGGGAACTATGGTTATCATATAGAATTCTTTGATTACAATTTTTATCACAAATGTAAGTCATCCTTATTAGTTTGTAGTGATACATGTTTCCCTACAAGCGTTCATTCTCACACTTCTAATCTCATTTGTGAGTAGGAATTGAACCATCTTGATGGCCTAAAATACTCGAAAGAAAAATAACATTGGTAGAACTTGCAACCATAGATTTTCCAGACACCTCTACTCCTTTCGTTGAAGCAACTACTCTTAGTCCTTGCCTAAATAGTCTGCACGATCCATCACAGTTCAAATTACAATGGTATGACTTGTGATCAATCAAACTCAAGGATTTTACTGTCCCTACATTAAAAAATATATAGAACCAGAGATATCCTGCTATCATCCAATCACATTATGTCATTTGTTTCTATTAGGTATAATTCATAAATGGTACCATAAAAAGAATGGCTGCAATGGAAGTTGCTTCTATGAAATAAATTGTACTTTCAAAATTTTATAGCATGAAAATAACAAGAAAATAGTTAAAAAGGTTAATGAACATTCGACCATGCATAAGTAAAAGTAAAATCTACAGAGAGAATGTGAGAATGGGTTGTCATACAATGCAAATCTAGAGTGTAATTCAAGCAACATGAATGTAGCTGGAGAACAATTCTAGAGTATTTTCTATTTGTCTTTGTGGGAAAATATGAAAAGTGATGCCTAATCTATGAAGAAGCTAACAATACTAACATTTATTACAATGGAAGAAGAAGAAAACGTAAAAGAAAATAACTCACGAAATGGACTAAGTCAATTCATGATGTCCTTCTTCCTCCTTAATTACACCTATAATGAGAAAAACAGATGCAAAAATTACCTTATTGGAAAATGAGTATTTATAGAGAATGAACTAGCGAGATATCACAACAAGCTTGAGGTCTGATGGCCATAAAGACGAAGAAGCACTTTGATTTGTTATGGCATTATAGATTATAGATTTATAATATCATGGGTTAAGGGAAAATTTTGCCATAAAAGTTTTCTAAAAAGAATTACTAGATATTCTTATGTTTGATAAGGAATAATGTTCCCTCAACAGTGTTCAAAGGAAAGCAATGTCCAACCTCTGCTATGTGTCAAAAGGCCTATATTAAATGGCATGTAAACTTGAAATGGCCATGTAATTTTCTTAGTTAGCAAGTGTTAATCTGCACACATTAGAATTTATTTATTAAAAACTTTTTCAAATCAAATCTTCCTTTTTAAAATTGAATCAAACCCAAG